ATATATATAAAATATTATTCTATTTTACATTAAATGTTATACAATAAACTAAAATGTAAATGAATTAATTTTTAGTAGAATATTTTCATTAGAGAAAAGAAAAATCGAAACTTGTTTTCGTATATAATTTGCAAATTGTTTGTTAGATGGCGACACATATTCTATTGACATTACATAATCAATAAACATAAAATTTCAAGTTACAATAAAATCTCTCATTTATACGCATCCAGACAATATGAGCTTGCATCAATATAATATTATGTATTATTATGTTTAAATAAAAAAAGAATACATAATTAATCATTGAAGCTGGCATTACAGCCGCAATTCACTTTATATATACATATTTTTATATATTTTAGTGAAAAAAAGAAACATTTAATGATTCTGTAAAAATGATTTTGTATATGTATGATAGTTATTTAACTTTAGTCCAAGCATTCCAAGCTTATAACACACTGCAGAAATAATGTTTCGTATGGTACTATTACATATCATACAATCATGATTTATATTTATATGAAATTTTTGTAAATAATAATGCGAAATATTGGAAAAAGTCGAAATGAAATTTAACTAAAGAAAAAGAGATATATAAAAATAAAGAAACAATGTTTACGGATTTCTATCAAATAAAATATGCTGAAACTCAATTTTTTTTTGTTTAATAGGAAAAACATAAATGATTAAATTAAATTATGAGATTATTGTATATTAATTTTAGAATCATTTACATACTTTCCAAATTTAATATACATAATAGATAATCAAACTGATTAAATTTCGTTAAAATTGAACATTGAAACGCAACATGAAAATAAATTTTTTGTGATACAATAATATATATTTAATTGTAGTGTAATTTTCTATAGAATACTATTTATTCGTGACAAAATTTTTTTTTATATTGAAAAAATAATGAGAAAATTAATTTCTTTTCTGTTAGCAAGTCTACATAACTAAATAATGTGCTTGATGTAATAGCATTATTATAAGAAATGTTATTCAAGTAATGTTCAAATTACCTTGTAGATGTTGTTTATTCCATCTATTATTCGGCCGAAAACAGTCTTATTCTCGTTTAGAGTTCTCAAACATTTAAATGTGAGATTAAATTTGGAGTCTGTTTTGTCGTTATCATTGTCGCAAGTCGATAGGATACCGGGTCCTGTATGACGTAGATTAGAGCTTTCCTTGTCAAATGAGTCACCATATATGGAAGTACCACCGGTACCGTTAAACTTCGTAACATCTCCTCCTTGACACCAGTAGCCAGAGACAATACGATGAAATGGAGTGTATCTGCGTAAATTATAATTTTTATATGAAATATCTTTAAAAATTTTAGACTTAATAATTTTTAAAAAAATTTTGGATAAATTTAAATTTTGAGTCAATCTCAAGCATTATGATTTATATCTATTACCTGTGTATTTATAATTAATTTTTTATCTATTACCTGTGTATTTATAATTAATTTTTTTTTATATAATATATTTACAATATAATATAATTTATGCACTTGTATGATAGTCCATTCACTCCATGACAGAAAGCTGCAAAGTTCTCACATGTACGTGGTGCGATACTGTCATAGAGTTCAAATACTATACGCCCTAATTTCTGATTTTCTTCTTTAATTCCAATGTCGAAGAAACATTTTGTTTGACTTTTCTCAGCTAATTGTTTTTGTATATCTAACATAGTAGATAATTTTTTAATTATTGAAATGTATCTGCATAATATAGAAAGATATGTAGAAATTTCAGTGCAAAATGTAAAAGTAAAAGTGTAAACTTTGAAAATACTACAAAATTTTATTACAAAATTTTATTTCTGAATATTATTAATTAGATAACCTTGTACGGTGTTCTACTGCTTCATGCATTCTCTTCCACTTTTTCACAAACTCACGGGCGGGGTATTGACTTTCCGCTTGACAGATTTTCTTTAATATAATTTTATTGTTCTGCATAATTATATTGTTTCTACGCTCTTGATCCTCAAATTTCGTTTTATATTTGACATCCGGCGCCCAGCAATTTACAGACCCCTAAAAATAAAACAAATGATTAATGTTGTCATGTTTTATTTGTGCTTATCTCATTTGGATTAATATTGCCTAAAAATAAATGAAATTGAACAATTTTATATAATATTAGAAGTATATATAATAAATGCATCATTAATTTTTTTTATTAACAAATATACAACATATGTAAGATTATATTAGTTAAAGTAAGATATGACAATACTAACCCCTAATCGATGAATTATATTTATCTTCTTCAATAGTTTTATATTTTCTCGATCTATTTGTTTAACTCGTATTGCGTCGTGTTGTAAATGATGAGATTTTAAATAAAGACATGCATTGAAATGTGGAGGTTTGTTATCAATTTTCGATACAACACGCACATGATGAGATTTCCTATGCTTTTTATTATTCATAATAGTATTAAATTTAGATAAAATTTAATTTTTATTATATAGTTTTAGAAAAATATTTGTTGTGGAAATTTATATTGATATTATCATATTTTTACGTTAATTTGATTTGTAGTATTATTTGGAGTGAATTTATAACCAAAATTTCTGAAAATCTCCATTTACACGACATTATATGAATTGATGCAATGTTCAGATAATTATTATTATGTAACATTCGGATTGAATTTAATAGCGAATGATGTTCTTTAACAATATGCTTTGAGAGAGAAAAAGCATAATAATAAGCATAATAATATTTATTATATAATAAACTTATATTCATAAAAGTTGACGTTAATGAGCTTATCTGATTATGTGCAATTCATTAATTAAATTATTAATTATATCTGTTTATTTCTTTTGTTAGATTCAACATCCAATTAGAATTAAATTATCTCAGGTAATACAATAATTCATGCAATGTACATGATATAAATAGAATTATCTTTTTTTATTATTGGCATTATTTTTCAGCAACAATTTATATTTTTTATGCATATAATAAAATATATAAAACTGCTTTTATGAAGAAAAAAACCATTGCAATAATGAGAAAGATAAAATAAGACGTAAAAATAAGACGTAAAAATAAGATGAAAGATTTTATATTTTGCATTTTCTGTAAAAGAATATTAATTCTCAGTAAGAATATATAAATATTATCTAAACATATCAAATGTTATTTAAAAAGGTATATTACATACTGAATGTTAAATTAATATTTATTAGAACATTCGTTTATGTATTTAGCTATAATTTTTTGATACATGCTTGAATCTGTCTATTTGTATTAATATAATTCCAAGTGTCAGAATAGATTCGGAATACTAGAAAAAAGAAATTAGAATTGATATTGATGATTAATATGTAGCTATTTTTAAATAATAAATAATTAATAACACACTTTGTAAAGGAATTTATATCCAAATTGGAAAAGTCTAAGCCCGCAAAACTTCAGTGGCGCTTGTGTTACTTGCAATAAAAATTGTAAGATCTTAAGAACATAAAGAATTTAGTTGTTACTTTTTAGTTTGTGTTGAAACTTAAATTAAAATTTAATTTAGACAGTAACATCTTTTAATATTATACTGAATTACATTTTCATGTATTTCCACATCGTAAGAGAAATATAATATTTTACATATAACATTACTTGTCGCATTTGCCTAAAATTGGAACTAATGTTATTTATAATTTTGTAAAATTTAGCATTATAAATATTGTTAGCAATCATACAATCACTGAAAGTAAAATAAATGTTTGAATTTGTATATAGAGAATTGATACCTTTGCACTAACTTTCTCACACATATAATTGATCAGGACAATTCTAGAGATGTACCAAGATAGCCATAGTATGATTATAGTGATGAATAAAATTCTTTTATTAGTTACATAATATCTGATAAATATTGCAGTAAAAAGTTCACGGAAAAACTCCGCTATGAAACCGAAATAACATACCATCTTCCAAGTCATTTGTATTTCGAATATTGAGTTTATCTCGCGAGATATTTTCTGTAACTCCAAATGAAGATGTCTGCGTAAATATGATAAATTTTATTAAGCAAAATCATAAGCAATAATAATTACATTTATATTTACATTATGATCCAAGTCATATGTTTACTGCTTGGAGGCTGGCGTCGATGTGAATGTAACATAGGACTTTCCCATACTCGCTTAATTCCACATATATTCTCTGTTGTTAATTTGTGAAGATGTTTGTTGATTTGATCAAATTTCAATCCTAAGTATCT